GCGCTATGTCCTTTCAAAGTTTAAATTGCTGTTTCGTTCTCTCTTCATCTAATCACAGTAGGGAGCGTTCCTATTGACAACCACTCAAGGAGAGTCATACCGACGGGCCGCTTTTCATGCTTAACACTGTTGGGGGATGGAGTTGTTCTGTATAGTAACCCACGGACGAAGTGCTACGCTGTAATTGGCTGCGGGTAAAGAGGAGGGTCAGGCACGATTAGTGTGTCACGGTGCCAACCCGTTCGCTGCCAGTTCCTGAAGAGACTATGCGACAACAATCGGTAGAAAACGAGTGATACGAACGATATGATACAGTCTTGTCACTTGCTCGCTCCAACAGCTGGTGGAGAACGGTTTGGCACCGCGCCAAACTCATCCAGCCTGGCCGTCCGCAGCGAACTAAACAAACTACAAACTATAAATAGTCCAGCTTTTTCTCATTAACGGTTCTTTTGAGCTATCTGAGTACCGCTTCTTCGTCCATATGTGGTCACTCGCAGTGGAACTGCAGTACTATTTGATAGTTCCACTAATCATCGGATCGACCGAAAAGTGCTCGAAAGGTTCTCGACTCTTGGTATTCGCTCTGCTTATGACGGCCTCCATGTCTTTTCAGCTCCTGGCTACCCCAAACGTGAGTAGACAAACACTTTCTTCATGACTTTGTTACCCCTTGTTAAATCGGAATTGGTCTAGTTTAAGTTCGACTAGTTAGGTAAGGGTAGTGGCCGTAAAATTAACTCGACTAGGAATCGATGGAAATCTTTTTCACGCTTTACACGAGAAATTACCTAGAATTACAAACGAGAGACGAATACACAAAAAAGGAAAAGAAACGATGCGGATGGAGGGTGTCCCACCAAGGGCCTGCCGGTCAATCAGTGCGTTTCTCGCGCAAGTCGATGGTGGTGAAAGCGGGGGAGGAGGGGGGGGGTAACGAAGCTGCGCGGCACACTGAAATGCCCCGCGCGGAAAAAATCGCTGGTCCCTGTCGGCGCACGAAACCCTAAAAGATGGCAGCGGAATGAGTTTTA